AGCATCTGGACCACATCTGTTCACACAGCTGCAAAGGTTTGCTGCTGTGGCCACAGGTCATTGCACAGCCCAGCACAGCTGGAGTCCATGTCTCTGACCTGGCTTCCCCTGCAAATGGCTTCACCTGTGTCATTTTGTCCCCTGGTGTTGCTAGGGCTTGTCATTTTGTCCCCTAGTGTGGCTAGGTTGTGCCCACCAGCATAGTACATGGATAATGGGGTGCAGCTGGATGGGGTTCCCCTCCTCTCACACCATATAGTTCTGCTCCCCCCTTGCCCCACCAGTTGGAAAGTCAATCTCCACTGACTTTCTTCATATAGGTCCACAGATGCAAAACTGTATTCACAAGCACATAATTACCAATCTGGGTATTTTCTTCTCTTAATTAGCAATGACGTGGTGCTTTAATTGCTCAATTAAAGTTGCCCATGAGGAAGGTTTAAGGTACATTAAATTTGCTGATTGGTTCATCAGTATGAATCCCACCAACTGGAAAAAATTAACTGGCTTCCAGATCGCTAACTCAACTCTCCAGATCCATTTCCACAAGCCGTGTGCCACAAGAGGCACGAGAGAGCCCAGCAGCAGAAGGGTTTGTCCATGAGGGGCCAGCAATCCTTCTCCTATTCCCATGTCTCCTTCAGTTTGGGAGCTGGAGGAGAAAGGGTCCCAGCAGTGACAGCCTCCGTCTCTTCTTGTCCAGAGGACACAGGACATTTTTTTCAGCTTAAGCAGAGCTGGGTAAAGTCTACTCCAGGGTCATATCCTTTTTCAGCCACACACATCAGACCCCTGTTTGGCAGTTGTTCTTGCTTAGCCCTGGCAGGCTACAAACACCCATCCTTTTGTGCAAATGGGCTGATGGAGCAGCAATAGCTTAATTGTTGCTCCCTCATTACTGTTTTCCAGCCAAAGGCAACAGCCAAGTTGAAGCCTCCCAGCACCACAGAGGGAAAGCAGCCAGAGCAATCAGGACACCTGGAGGCTAAGATGTCTGGTCCCAAACTTTTGACAAAAATGTCTGAACAGTGAGTCCCATTCCTGAAACCCATGGATATACCACAAAGATGCTCTTTGGGAACTGCATTTCTGCCAAAGGCTCATTCACCCATAAGACAGCAGGGGAGGGGGCTTGTCTCTTCTCTTTTACCCTTTTTCATTTGTTCATTAAATAAAAACCTTCCTGGGAGATTCTGCACTCCTGGAGGTCTCTGTGGCTGGTGGCTGGCTGGCTGGCTGGGTTTGTGTCAGCTCCTGGGGAGGACCACCGTGATGGGTAGCTGTGGCACTGCTACTGATGGTCCAAATCAACTCTCTGTGTGTGTACAACTTGCTATCAGCTAAATAGATTTTAGTCCAACTTTCTAGTTTTGCTCACTGATAGCTGGTGACTGGCACAGCCCAAGGAATAATTCAGATCCACCCCAAAAGGCTGACCTCTATGCAAGGGCCACAGCCCCAAAGCCTTGGTGGCTTAGGAGCCCAGCAGCCCTCCCCAAAGAGGGGCTGGCCAGGGCTGGTTAAGAGGGGTGTGGGTGAAGAGCCACTGTCCTCACATGCCTGAGCCTCCCTGTCCACCTCTCCATCCATCCACAGGACATGGTACACATGTCCCAGCTTTCAGCCTCATGGCTGTTTGAGGAGGTGGCTTGTGGGTTTCTTCCCTTCCCATAGAAGCAGACCCAGGGTTAAAGTGCTCCCCTTTCTCATTTCTTTAATTGCACTAACCTTATTGAAAGGGGTCTCTATTTGTCCTACGCAACAGGTGCATAAAAATAAGGTGAATTACGCTGATTGTCTTCGTATTTGATAAATTGCTGGGACAGATGCTTTTCACTTATGCTGTTTTTTATTCTGCTATTTAGGCAAAGCAGTTGCTATTTGATGTGTGTAAGAGATACTAGCATGTCTTGCTGTGGACTGATATGTTTCAAGGAGGAAAGAGCAGCACATCCAAGGCTGGCTGTGTGTGATGGGGATGAGGGAAGCAAAGTCCTTCAGAGCCTTGAAAACAGGGGGGGAAAGCAAGTTGGGCAGCAGGGCTGTGCTGCTCTGGGAGAGAGATGCCAAGGGTTTTCATCCTTGAGGTGGCTGTGGTATAAAATACTGTGGGAGTAGAAGCTGGGAATTTCAGGAGCTGGCAGACCCCAGGACCCCTTCAGCAGCTGTGGCAATTCATGCTCAAACCTGGGTTCTGCACAGTAAGGCACTGCAGCACCCATGCCCGGCCACAGCTGGAAAAGGGGCTCCTGTGCCTCTGAAGATAAATCAGACAGATGCATGAGGCACAGATACAGGGGTCAAATGTCTCGTGCAATCCAGGGCTGTGACATATCTGATGCCAGGCTAGCTGGCATCCTTAGCGTGGTCCTGACCTCAATGTCCCTGGGCCGAGACCTGCCCCACCCTGATCCCATGGAAACTGCCCCTCACATCCTTATGGCAAACACCAGGACATCACAAGATGAAATGTGTGGATCCCACTGGGGTAAGTGCAAGGAATCAGAGATCCCAGCCACCACCCTCCTACCCAAACAAAGGGGCATCCAAGGTGATGGCTGGCAGTAAAGGTGACAAGAGGCAGAGAAGTTCCCCAGGTTCCTATGCATCCTCCACCATGTTCCACCTCACCCCATCCTTCCCAGCTCAGTGGCACAGCTTTCCTTTTTCTCTGAAGGGCTGGGAGCAGCTCTGGCCATGATCTGGTTTCCTGAGCTGTCTTCCATCACTCTGGCAGGTCCTTAGAAAAATGAACGTTAAAGAGAAGGGGGAGAAACCTCCACTGTTCAAACATCTTTAGCTTTGACAAATAAGGCGTCTGGCTGTGAAAGGTGGAAGGAAATTAATTTGGAATCACATTTTAAACACTGCCATAGAGGCAAAGTATCTTCTCTCTAATTTTTTCCCCCCAAGCAAAAAATGAATTTCCCTGATATTTATAGAAAGATTATTAGGGCCACAAGGAGTGATTTATATCATCTCATCCCTGTGACGGAGAATGAAAAATTGCTGGGGCGACAGCCACTGGAATCCTGCTTTTGTCTGCCTGACAATTAAAACGGCTAATTTCCAACTCCTCAGATCCGCTGGGGTTATAAATCATTCCGGAAAAGCACTTTTCACCGTGAAAAATGAACTCTGCCCCAGTCAAGCACAAGACGCTTAGATCAGAGATTTGCATCTGTTTGCTTTTGTGTGTAAATATATGTACTTCTGCTCCACACCCACCCACCAAAGGAGATGCTAGGAAGGAGGTGCTGCCCCTGCCCACTTGATGCTGGGCTATGAAACTTCCCATGCTAGGAGCTGGATAAATGGGACAGGGAAGGCAGGAGGGTGAGATGACATGGAGATCAGAGAAAGTCCAGTGACATTTCTGTCCTGTTTCTGATGCCACAAGCCCTGAAGTTCTTCACCTGAGAGCATTATTGGTTGAGCAGCATGGGTCTGAGTCTGTCTGCATGCAGGAGGGCCAGCTTCTGCCTGTGTCCTCCCCATCTGGGGAGGCAGGTTGGACCACACTTCCTCCTGTGCCATGCCTATGGGTAGGGGCAATCCCACCAGAAAAGGGCAGGAGGGCAGACAAGGAGCTCTCCCACAGCTTTGCTCTCAGGAGAGAGAAAAACGTGCCCAAGGAAACACAAGAGAATGAGGTACACTGAGCACAGCACTGATGCCAGGTCTTCCCTCAGCCTTCAGGCTTTGAGGTGGTGATCTTCTGGGGCAGAGCCTGGTGTACAGGACCACAAGAGGGGGAATACGGGGAAGAGGTATTTGGACCTTCTGAACCAAATGTCCAACTTGCAGCTCCTTGCAGTCATGGGGCTGGGACCCAGCGATACAGGCAGCCCATGCCAGTGCCCCCTCCCACAGTAGCACATGGCTGGCCCCACGCACACTTGGCAGCCACTCTTTAACATGGAGAAGATGACCCTGTCTGAATTATCAGATCTATCCCAAGATGACTTTCAAGTCACTGGTTGCAGGCTGGAGGAGTTTTGGATAGAAGCATTTATTCTGCCTGTCCTTCCCACTCTGCATAGCTGGGGACCCGCTGGGGATGGCACAGGTCCCAGTGGCACCTGGATCCATTCCAGTCCAGCGTCGGACGTCCTAACCTTGCATCAAGTCTCCCTAAGACAAATGCTTCACTTGACATTTCCACAAAACTCAAACAAAAGCCCCGCACTCTTATTTGTGCTGCTCCCCTAAACACCTCCCATAAAGAAACTGAGAGCAAACAAATCTGTGCGGAGGGCTCTCATGGGGAGCCCTGAGCGCCATGCTCTGTACACACACATCCTCGTGCCTGGTGCATGGCTGCTGCTGGTCACCCCACTTCCTTATCGCAGTTTGTACAGTCGGCAGCCTGATGTCTGCCCAGCGGCACAGAGGGCTCCTGGGAAGGCTCTCTGCACCCCCAGATGGCAGAGCTTTGCAGCAGCCCTGGGGAGGGGTGATGGATGGAGGCGATAACCTTGTTTCATGAAAGCTCAGTGTTTTTCCTTTTGCATTCCTCGCTTTCAACCCCCCTGCCAAAGGGAAGCAAGCGGTGGGGCATTTTGGAGAGGCCAAGCTGTGCTTCGCTGGAGTGCACCAGCAGAGATCTCAGCACCAACCAGAGCTGCTGGGGGCACTGGGCTGGGACCTCTGGGCCAAATGCTACATGGTCGGGAAAGATGGAGCCAGTGCACCCCCTGTCCCAGTGCCAGTCCCCATTGCAAAGCCAGCCCCCAACCCAAAGCCATGCCCTGTGCACCAGGACCTGTCATGGTCAAGCTCACAGAAGCTCCCAAGGAGCTTGCCAGTGGTACCAGTGACATATTTTGGAAGCATGAAGCCAGCCAGCAAAGGCTTGGGCAGCCCTTGGCCTCCACAGAGGCTGGCTGTCCAAGTTTTTGTGAGCAGACTTCTGCCCTCAGCCCTTCCCCAAAGAGGCAAGAGCCCCTTGCAGCCATGCCCCCCCTTGCAGGCACTGCTAGCAAGAAGCAGGGACTCACCCATGCAGGAATCCCGCTGCTCTTCATAGCCAGCACTGCACACGCACTTCCCGATAGGCACCAACCATTCTCCCTCAGCACTGCAGTACATTTTGGGGGTGTCCCTCTCCTCTGAATGGCCCACGCACTCTCCTCGCACTTCCACCAAGGAGGATGAGTCTGCCCCAGTCACAGCCTCAGAGAAGGATGCCAAGTTCCTCACCATTGCTGGGCACTTCTTGTAGTACACCCGCACTGAAACAATGGCGATGCAAGCACCTATGTCCTGGAAGGCCAAGTAGAAACCCCTCTTGCTCAGTGGCCCCACGCCCCGCACCTCTGTGTTCAACTTCAGGCGCCTCACCCCCAGGTCCACATTGGTGAAGCTCTCATCAGCTGCGATGGTGTCGATCTTCATAAACTGGCTCTCCCGGGTGCTGGTGCCCAGGTCCCGGTCGGACTCCAGGTAGTAGAGGTTGAAAGTCTCCTTGCAGGTGCCCAGCACGCCTGGCATGCTGTTACAGTCCCGCAGCGTGAATTTAATCTCTGCATAGACCCGCCGCGCGCCGTCCCGTTGAACCCAGTTGGTCCGTAGCCAGTTGTTCTGGTTGGGGGTCATGACATTACAGACCTGGTAGGTGTGGATTGGGCTGAAAAACTCATCCATTTCATTGATTGAATCCCACTGCGGGACAGAGAGAGAACAGGTCATTCCAGATGTCCCCGAGCACTGGGCGAGCACGAGGCATGCAGGAGTCTGTGCCATCACCCACCCAGGGATGAACTCCCTCTGCTCCTGCAGCTGCATCTGGACAAGAGATCACTGCTGCCACAGGCCAAAGGAAAATGAGGATGAGCGGACTTTACACACCACTAATTTGGGCAGTAACTCCCACAACCCACCTTGATGCAGAGCTGGCTGAAGTGCACCCCTGTTCACAGACCAGAATGCTTGCACGAGTCTGATCTGATGGCAGAAATTGATGGCAGTGTGTGTTTAGTAGGGGTCCAAACCCTCAAGACCATGTCTACAAGTCCATTTTCTTGGTGCTCAACCTGTCATTAGCAGCAGCAGCAGGGAGGTACCTGCATGGTGCTCACCTGAGTCTCTTCTGTCTCATGCAATCTCCATGCACAAACAAAACAGGCTGCTTTCCAGCTGAAGAATGAGTTTCAGGGTGTGTACCACAGGGTGAAGGGGAAGCATGCAGAGAACACAGGACTTCCAGCAAGAAACGGGGCTTCATGGGGGCTCAGAGTCCCCTTCTTCCAAGGCAAGGTGAGGTCAGTGTGGTTCCTCAGTGTGAGTCCACAGTGCTCAGCTCAGACAAGAGGCTGGACTGGGGGATGGCTCTGGGAACCCAGGGGCTTACAGCTTGACAGCTCTGGGGTTAAAATTCAGTGTAGCAGTGGCAGCAGAGTGAGCTTGGTGAGGAGATGGTGGGCAAAAGCAGGTTGAAGCAAGCAGGATTGCAATGGAGGGGTGGTCTAGGTGGGTTTAGAAATACAGGGACATTTGTGTCATCCAAGAGAGGGATGCTAAGTGGTTTTGAATGATAAGTGAGAAGAAGTAGTGCGATTCTGGATATAAATGATCTCCATAGCTGAGGGACAAGTTGAACTTAGTCGTTGGGGGCTACAGGACACTTCTGGGGGCTCACTCTTGCCTCACATGTCTCCATCTCCACCTTCTCCAACCACACCAACCCCTCACCAGGACCCACAGACCTTTCCTTCTCTGGGGGCTTCCCACCACCACTTCAGCTCACATCTCTGTTCAAATCAGGCACCCCAATCACGTCCCCCATGAACAGGTCTGGACCCCTGAATTCTTATGGGAGAAGGAGGAGGAAGAAGAGGAGCAGAGGAGGACTTCAAACCTTCTGACTTTTCCCTGGACTTAGCAACAGGCTTTGAAGATGCCTGAGTCCCACCACCACACCCAAGTCCAGCTGTGAGGGGCAGCCCCAGACGCAGCCCTGCCTGTACCTTCCTCGGCTTCCCAGCGCTGCCTCCCCACC